GGAGGGCGTTGCAATAGTCGATGCGAGAGATAACCATGGCCTGTACCAGAAGCTGGGTGGCGTACTGAGTGAGGTAGGGCCTGATTTTCCTTATGTTGTATAGAGCAAAGCAGCACGACCGAGCGACAGCAGCAACATGGTCTGAAAAGGACAGCTGGTCATCAGTCATGACACCCAAGTTTCTCACCACCTTGGTTGGAGTGATGGTTGCGGAGTCAATTTGTAGTATGGTGAATAGATTGCTTGGCTGGCCCCAGTGATACAAAACACACAGTTCAACCACCAATTAATGTCCTTATCCCAGTTCAAACCTCCTAGGAGTCCATCTTTTTGTGTCCCAGTAAGCAAACAGAAAATACTCCGTTTTAATAGACAAGCTTAGTAATTCCCCGACGACACCGGGTTCCTCCTCCTCCTGGTGGCTGTGTGTGTGATGCTGGCGGCGATCGCTACAATACGCTTACCTTACTACACGTGTCTGTTGTGCATTTGTCGGGGCCGTTGTACAACAAGAAGGCAAGGTGTGCAGCGTAACGTGCAGACGAAGCATCAACTTGGTCAGACTGCTTTAGTCTCAGGTGTCATGTGACCAGAGTGTAATCGCAGCCTTTGCTATTAGAAAATCTCGTTTTATTACATCGCACATGCCTTTAATCGTTCAGCCCTACTCCCTGGCTACTTCCACTCCACTTGCGCGTTCATGCAGAGGGTCCGCCACATCGAGCGCCATCTGCAACCAATGAGGGCTGGTGGCTTGTTAAACCCTCAAATGCTGAGTGAGCCCCTATGCTGGCTTGTTGAAGGTGTCGGTCTCCTCTTCTTCAAAACCAGCTGATCACAGCAGGTAACAAAGCTCGACATGATGCTGCAGCTGATCTGCAGCTCTTGTTGCTGGAAATGTTTTAACCTTCCAAACTGTCGCCATTTTATTTTTGTGCTGCAGTTATTTTTAACAGTTTGGTATTAAATGTGTAACAAACTTCATCGCCTGTCTCTTCATTATACTCCCACACAAGAAACTGCTTTAATGGTCAAACACAGCCTGTAGTTTTTCATTATATTCCAGTCAAATCTTATGGTTTTTTTTATAAATGTTGCTCGTGGATAGTGGTTACAAATAATGATTCCTGTGCATCGCTGTGTACCGCGTGCAGGCCTACAGCCTACGACAGCTGGTTCATTTGCCTTCGTAGGTCTTTAGACCGTGGTGGAAACGCACACAACACAGGGCTGAACGAACCTTTTAGTTCCTTGAAAAGAGATCTGGGGACTTAAAAGTCCCGGGTACTGTTGGTCGAAAAGCGCCTCTAGATACACAGGGGGATCATGTAACAAGCAACAAAGGCATTAAAGAAAAACAGTTAAGTCTTTATACATTTTAACTGTTACTGTTAGACTATATAATGCCTCAATGTTTGATTTATTTAGAAATGTTGTATTTGGGAATGTAATATAGGCTTTTCTTTACAATGAATAGCAATCTTTTCATAATAAGAGTATAAGAATATAATATTTGTTTTTCGTAAATATCTATGACGTCACGTTCTTAAAGAAATATTTGACACAAACACAAAATGAATGACAAATGCTTTCAGTTTCGTTATTGCAAAAAACAAACTTTCCCTCAACATCAGTCCTGAATCTTAACACAACGGTTGTTTATTTAATACACATATTATAGCAGCGAGTGCAGCGATAACGTCAGATCCCGTTTACGCTGGGGGGAGAGTTCGTCCGAAAGCTGTCTGCTGTATTTAAACCCTACGTGGGTTGCGGAGCTCGATTTGGCTGTGAGGGTGACTACGACCAGAGTTCACTCTGTGTCAAGTGGCGAGGGTCTAGTTTCAGAAAGGCCCTCTGACATTTGGTTTTCACTGACAACATTATGTGGATTATTTTAAGCCAGTAAATACAAATTATATTTGTAGTATTCAATAGTATTCAGTGTTTCAGGCAAGACAATTTTACATTTCACATTATTATTTTCACCACATCTCTGAACAAATAGTTGGAAAAGCTGGAGCAGATAATAAATAACCAACAGCCAAAGATCAGCCTGCTGGAGGAACTACAAGCTTTAGATCTGGAGAAAGTCATTTGGTTGATTCTGTTGCTCCACAGTGATTTTAGTGAGGACACAACATGTTTTGGGCATCAGCCCTAAAACCCTGTTAATATGACCTCAGAATCATTCTAGATACGACTGTTGGTGTCTGCTCAGCATGTTGAGATGCCGCACCTGTGAGGTGGATGGATTATCTTGGCAAAGGAGAAGTGCTCACTAACACAGATTGTTTCCTTATTCTGATGAAAATTTCAGCAGTCATCACATTCTGTCTTCAAACTCTGAACATATTGACGCTTGGTCAAGGCCCTTTGGCGTCACTTTTTAACGCCCTGGGTAACCTCTTTAAATGACTGTAGCACCGTCTCACCATTATGATATTGCTTATTTTTAATTGAGTTTTAAACTCCTGGACTTTAATAGCTCCTGTGCTTCAGCAGATTGTCTGCTTAAGGTCAAAGCTTTTGTGCGCATTCAGAATCTCTCCCACAGAATCATAATCTGAGCTTTTTACCTGACAAGAATTCTTGTCACAGTTTAATGTTGCGGCGCAAGATCTCGTCACACCCCCACTGAGGTGTGAAGGTTAAAATCTGCAACTGTAAAGGTAACTCTGACTGGCATGATATAATAATCAACAAGTTGTGACGCTATTATGCAGCTGCGCCATTATTGTGCATGAGACGCCTACTGGTGGTGGAAAGCGCTGTCCCCTCGCAAAATATTACGGTAGTTGACCAATCTGTTAATGGTTTATTCGATTAGTTGACTAGTCACAATCATTTGTTACCAAGTAACCCAGGGGTGTCAAACTCATTTTCACCACCGGCCACATAAGCATTATGGTTACCCTCAAAGGGCCAGTTGGAACTGTAAGACTGTATAAACATACTTTACTGCATAAAATCTTCCTTAACACAGGACTGGCAGCTATCGCTTTATCTCCTTGAAACACAAACGTGTTGACTTTCCCATGAAATGGCTTCCTTCTGCATAATTTTTTATTGGACATTTTGGGATCGTTTGTATACATTTCTCATCTCCACTTGTCGTTAAAAAAATGCGTGTGTGGAAAGACCGCAATCTAGTGGCGGGATGCTATCAATTTACAAAATCACAAAATTGCCATGCATTGTGGCCATTGTGTTCATGAACACTTTAAAGCAGCATAAACTTGTATTTTAGGACAATCATGAATCTTTTAAGCTTTCGTGGGCCACATAAAATGACGGGCCTTGAGTTTGTCACATGTGCCCTAATTAAACTTATTAAATGTCTTTTAAGTGAATTAGATCTTGTGATGGCGCAGTGTATAAGACACATGCCTTTGGTGTGAGAGACCCTGGTTTGAATCCACTGTGAGACACCACTGTGTCCCTGAGCAAGACCCTTGTTGCTCCAGAGATGTGTGACCTCTGACATGTATAGCAGCTGTAAGTGGCTTTGGATAAAAGTTTCAGCTAAATGAATAAATGTAAGTGAATTAACACACAGCCTAACTAACCATTAAGTGGTTTAAGTAAGGTTTACTCTTCAGAATGAACACCGGTATCGATGCCATGGAAAAATAGGGAGGACAAAACAGCGTAGGCTACTCCCTAGAAGTCACTGAGTTAGCAAACACCTAGTGCAATACTAACACAACATCAACCCTGAGACCTCACACCAAGAAGACCAAAGACAATACTGCATAAATACACCTGCATGTAGGGCAAACCTGTAGAAAGGGTTTATTTAATCATCTCTATCCTCAGTCTCAGTTTTATACAAGCACAGCTAACGTTAGCTTGGCAATTAGCCAAATGTTAAAAACAAGCTAAATAGAAAGCTGTCTGTCTGGAGCATAGACTGCTCTGTAGTCTTAAAAAGTCAGTTGCTGGCTGAGACAAACCAGCCGCTCCTCCTTCTACCTGGTAACGTTACCTGCAGGCACTGAATAACAGCAGAGAGGAGGGAAGGTCTCGTACAGACTGAACTTCTTTTTCTTTCTTAGTTTATACAGTTATATATCATCTCAATATATAACAATGTCATCGCACATTGAATATTTTCCTCATAACTTGGGTCTGGACCCAAATGTTAAACCATTACTGAATGAATGGTTTATTTCTGTTTACAAAATACAAAGAATGACAATTTGTGTGAATATGCATTTTACAGAAATCTTACATATGGTTACACCAATCCATTCACTCAAAATAACGTGCAACATTTACAACCGCAAAAGGACAGGCTGAAGACCAAGGCTTATATTTGCCTATCCTATGCACTAAAATACAGAATACCAGCAAAAAGAAGGAAAGAAAGAAAGGAAACAAAATGAAATAAATCTAAACTTTAAGCTTTAATTATTTTGCTTTTTAAGTCCATTCCACAATTTAACTCCCAAAACTGAAACACATCTGTATTTATTAGTTTTCACTTTACATGTTTCAAATATACACAATCCGCTTATGTTATGCTTTCCTTTTTCTTAATTTAAAACGTTTTTGAATACAAACAGGAAGCTCGAAAAAGTACTTCGAATGTTTTTCAATACACAATGTCTACAAATTTCAATGTGCACACTTCTATAAATGGTTAGTAGATTCACAGAAACACTTTATTTATTATTCTAATAGGTCTTTTTTTGTAGTTTAATTATAGGGTCTATTTGTTTTATATGCATTTCCCCACACCTCAACATAATGACAAATGTATTATAAGTGATCCCTTCTTTTGTAAATAACATCTATAGATTTAGATAATATCCATTTGAGATATTCTTCCAACAAAGTTTATGATCTGTAATCACTAAAATCAATGTTTCAAATACTGTCATTCATGCTTTTAGATGGCTCACTCCACCATGACATCTCACTTACTGTTTCTTTCTTTTGATATAGAGAAAGAGAGGAGGAGATGGACTCAAACGTCATCGCTGTCAGCACTGTGACAAATCCTTCACAACATCTGGATATTTGAAGATTCATCAGAGAGTTCACACTGGAGAGAAACCATACTGGTGTGACCAATGTGGGAAAACTTGTATTACATCAAGTGCCCTAAAAATCCACCAACGTGTTCACACTGGAGAGAAACCGTACTGGTGTGAACAGTGTGGAAAAGCTTTCACTAATTCAGTTCACCTAGAAATCCACCAACGGGTTCACACTGGAGAGAAACCTCACTGCTGTGACCAGTGTGGAAAAACATTCACTCAGTCAGCTCACCTAAAAATCCACCTACGTGTTCACACTGGAGAGAAACCTCATTGGTGTGAACAGTGTGGAAAAACTTTTGCGCATTCAGCTCTCCTAAAATCCCACAAACGTGTTCACACTGGAGAGAAACCGTACGGGTGTGAACAGTGTGGGAAAACCTTCACTCGATCAGATAACCTAAAGCAGCACCAACGTGTTCACACTGGAGAGAAACCTCACTGGTGTGAACAGTGTGGAAAAACTTTTGCTCATTCAGCCCAACTAAAAATGCACAAACGTGTTCACACTGGAGAGAAACCGTACAGGTGTGAGCAGTGTGGGAAAACTTTCACTCGACCAGGTCAACTAAAAATTCACCAACATGTTCACACTGGAAAGAAACCGTATGGGTGTGAACAGTGTGGGAAATCTTATACCAGCAGAAGAAACCTTAGAGAACACAAATGCACTCACAAAACATGAGTGTGACAGTCTTTCCAGAGCCGAGCTAGCTGTTTCTCCTGCCCTGAATACACCCACCTGTTATCATGTGACTGTGCTGGATTAACGCCATGTGTTGACAGCTGAGAAAGATTATTTGGAAAGAGCTGGAAAGCGTCAGTCCGGAGGTTGTATCAGCCAATAGCAAGTGCTTTTCAAGTGGCCTTTTATTGTGGCCAGTATAAGGCACACCTGTGCAATCCCCATGCTGTCTGATCAGCATCTTGATATGCGACACCTGTGAGGTGGATGGATTATCTGGGCAAAGGAAAAGTGCTCACTAACACAGATTTGTGAACAATATTTCAGAGAAATAGGCCTGTGTTTTTGCCTCCGTTCATCATAAGCTGAACTCAGTGTTGCATTTATAATATTGTTCAGTGTAAATATATTGTCGCCGACCCAGTCCTGTTCTGCCTCCTTCCTGAGAAAATGTTGAATAATCCACCTGATTGTGACAATGACAACATTAATGATTTCGACCAAACTGCTTAAATTAAATATGTTTTGATCCCCAGCTTTCTCACTACTCAAGAATGTCTCTGTTCTACAAAACAGCTAAAGCTCATTTCTTCTGTCTCCTAATGATGTGTCTGCTTAAACAGTAAGATGAGAGCATTCATTGATGAACTGACAGTTTGTTATAAACTTAATGTGACCATGGCCAAAAGTGGAGCTGTAATAGAAACAAATAGATTTTACCTGCATGTACTTTTAATAATCCTCTATATGTCATTACCTTATGTTCTTTGCTCTGAAAACATTTGTTCCCTCGATGGTTTGGCAGCAGGAGCACATTTAGCTCAGATCTGACTAAAAATCATCAGAATTACAGAAATGGGAGTAAGAATACGTTTTTGTAAAACATTTTGTGTATTTCATAATAATTTTGTAACTTAGGAATTTACTGAATTTTTTTAAATTAAGGTTTTAACTGATTTCATAATCATGTTGAATCATTTAGTAAGTTGCTTATTTTATAAGAATTTCACTTTCCTTTTAAGTATTTTGTTTACACATTTTGCTGCGAAATATCCTCAACTAACATAATAACTTCAATAGAAATATGAAGACGTGTGTAGCAGGAGCCTTCAGAGATCATAAAGATGAAGAAATGAGTAAAAGTAATTGTTCTACGTGGAGAGGTCGTCACTTTAGGACATCTGTTAACAAGTTAAAGATGATATGAGGACATTTTGTGAATGAAATACTCACTGTTGCACAGAGAGATGTGGAGAAAGACTTTCAGATTTCTTGAAGTCGGGTCCAGCGGATTGTTATTGGATGTGAAAAGGACGGTACCACCTGACTGTCTGCTCACAACCAAAACCTGACGTAATCAGGAGACATTCACACTCACCTGTGCAGGTGTGTTTCCTGGGAGGTTCAATACACAGACTTGATTGACTTGAAGACTTTTTGAATTTGCATCTGAAGGAATGTAAACAGCAACGACAAAAACACTTGTGAATTCTCTGGGCAGATGGCCAACATCTCAACATTAAAAATAAAAAAATCCACATCTAATAAACATTGTCCATCCCTTTGGCTGTGGTTGAGCACCAAGCATCATTAATGTAGGTGCACATAATGCTGAGGCAGATCGGAGGGTACGAGTGGAGGTTTGTGGGGTGAGGAGTTCCTTGGGGTATTGAGGGGGGCTTCACCATGGATGCACCAGTGGGTAAGGAGGGACATCTTGTACTCAATCCTGAGTGAGACAGGAAGCCAGTCGAAAGTCCAACAACATGATTAAATTATAAAATAAAAGGCTGCCAAACGCTGAGAATGTAAAAGTCTCCAAGTCAATGAACAGGACTGTTCAAAAGTTTCAAGAAACGTTTTGCTGCAGTCATTGCTGACGTACTCAGCATTGACTGCCTGTTTTTAGTAATGTAATGAAGTTTTTGGACTTTCTTTTGAGGACCTCGTAAAATGTTCTTACATTATGGCTTCACAGTCAATGTTCTGCAGCCATAGATTGTACATTGAATGCTTTTGAAAGTATGTATGTGCTATATATGTTGGATAAATGTTGTGTGGAAAGACTTGGATGGATTCTTTTCATTTGCATGATGCAATTGTGAGTATTGTATGTATATACACACTGAAATGTGTATGGAGTAGAAAGATTCACACAGTATATAGCACACTAGTAAATCATTCTTTTGGCCAGATGGCCTACATTAGGACATTTCTAATGTGAGTTTGTTGTCCGAGCTGCTAGAAGCAGACAGCAGTGTTAGAACCAGGTTAGAACAGGTTAACCTAAGAAATGATTGTGTGTGCAGAGTTGTTACTGTCAGTGCTATGTTTTTAATATTAAATAAATATTTAATGTGGTTTCCACCATAATGAACCAAGCTGTTCACCCTTTCTACCAGCAGGTGGCAGGATTTAAATGAGATCAATTTAAATTCTTAAAGTCTTATTTGCAGCCTAGTTATCATCTTCATTATTCACCCTCAGCCCAGAGTGAAACCTGCATGCCTTCCTGTATGTGTTAAATCGTCAGTTGCTTTAACAAGTTTATTTATCTGAAGAATGCATGATTAAAATGATGATTTCTCTTTTGTTCAGTTCATTGCAATGCACAGCAAAATGTTTATTTGGGGTTCAAACCGCTGTAGTGAACCAGATTATTAAATTAGATTCAACAGCACTTTAATAACATAACATAAGCATAACATATTTAACTCTACAACAGATTACTGTAACCTTATGATTTACTTTGGTAACAGTTCATGAACTGTATACTTTAACAAAATGACTGTCCCTTGATTGTTTTTACTACGTTGTCTGTTTTGTGTTGACTTGTACTGACTACCAGTGTTGGGCAAGTTACTCAGAAATTGTAATATATTACTAGTAACTAACTAGTAATTACTAATTTAAAAAGTAATATTATTGCTTCACTTATTACTGGGTAATAAAAATAAATAGTTACGTTACTATATAACTTTCCAGTGTTTCCCACAGAATGACAGCAATGGGGGGGGCGCTTTGTGCCGCGGTGTTCACGAGAGAGAGAAAGAGGGAGCGAGAGAGGAGGTGCTGCTCGAATTTATGCTCCTCAATACAGTTCCTTTAATCAAAAATTATTTTAAATATGCCTAGTAAAAATATTGAAAATCAATATGTGGCAGTCAGCATTGATAATTATCCAATTACTAGTTAATTATGGGAAACACTGCTTTCACTGCCAGCTTTCTGTAAGTTTCACGTTGCTGCTTCAGCAGACGCTTCAATAAATCAGATCTAGGACTGCTCGTGGTTGAAAGCCTTTTGCTGGTAGTTTACAATAGACGACATCTTAGACTGTGACACAATAATGGCAGTAGCTACTTACAACTGTGGACAGAACGACTCTCTCCCTCATTCTCCATTCTTCCTTTAGTTTTTGGCTAAGAGCAGACATAAACAACAAAGTCCGGCAGCGTTACTTTAAGTCTTAGTAACTAGTAATAATATTACTGTTTTGGTAAAGTAATTAGTTACACTACCAGTTCCTGGGAAAAGTAATATTATTACAGTAACGCGTTATTGCCCGACACTGCTGACGGATGAAAAACAGCCCTCTGGCTAAATCTGGCATACTTACTGAAATGTTTCAGCTTAAATGAAAAATCCTTCTCTATCTTTGACAAATGAACAGACAAGAAAAAAACAGAAACTGGAGGTAAGAGACTAAAGAGGTGATCAACATCTGAAGGACTCTGTATGCTTCAAACAAACTAGATCATGCAAATCTGTTTATACCTGCTGTAAATGGCAACACTGGAAGACAGGGCAAAAATCACTCAGTCCAAATGTTTAAAAGGCCTGAACCAGGTCCACTGGAGGCCTCTGGGTTTAACTGCCTTGGTTTGATCCAGTGTATAGTGAGGAGGAAGAGGCGCTGGGACTACAAAAACACTACAGATGAAATTTGTGTTCAGTCTGAACAAACCTTTGTTCTTGTGAGTCTGCTTTAATCAAATATCTGACGCCCGGCTGACGGTGAGTTTTTTTGCTCATTTTGTTTCTTCCACCGTTCTGTTTCCCTGTACCTTGCCTGCCTCCCTGTGTGTGCTCTCCCTCTCTCTCTGCTCCTGAGCCCAGCTGACCGCCCACACCTTCACCTCATCAGCCGCCTCCTCTGCCTGCCACACCTGCCTGCAATCAGCTCCATCTCCACCAGTATATCTACCCCGGTTCTCCACCATCAGAGGAGTTGGATCAGTGGAGCTGCTTCTGTTCCTGCTTCTCTCTGCAGAGGAGACAAACAAACTCTGACCTCAGTCTGCATACTGACCTTTGACCCTGAGAACAACTGTTTTCACTCTCCAGATGTTACTGTTGGAGACGTAGACCCAGTATTGTCCTACGTCTTTGTCTGTGGGTGATTTCAGGGTCAGACTGAGGTCTCCAGTTCTCAGCAGGTCTTCCTTAGTTTTTGTTCGGTCTCTGTAAAACTGGTCCTGTTGGTCAGGCTGGTCAGAGCCGTTCTTCTGACACACGCAGACTGTCTTTGAGGGTTTGGGTTCATAGCGGTTCCACTCCATTTTAGAGTCTCCAGACAGGGGAGCTGTGGTCTTGAAGGGCAGCAGGACAGACTCCACCCCCTCCTCCACCTCCACCTGACCTCTGATCTGTATCTACAGCACTGACCTCTGACCTTTATCTGCAGCTCTGACCTTTGACCTGTATCTACAGCACTGACCTCTGACCTGTATCTACAGCACTGACCTCTAACCTGTATCTACAGCACTGACCTCTGATCTGTATCTACAGCACTGACCTCTGATCTGTATCTACAGCTCTGACCTCTGACCTGTATCTACAGCACTGACCTCTGACCTGTATCTACAGCACTGACCTCTGACCTGTATCTACAGCACTGACCTCTGATCTGTATCTACAGCTCTGACCTCTGACCTGTATCTACAGCTCTGACCTTTGACCTGTATCTACAGCACTGACCTCTGACCTGTATCTACAGCACTGACCTCTGACCTGTATCTACAGCACTGACCTCTGATCTGTATCTACAGCTCTGACCTCTGACCTGTATCTACAGCTCGGACCTCTGATCTGTATCTACAGCACTGACCTCTGACCTGTATCTACAGCACTGACCTCTGATCTGTATCTACAGCTCTGACCTTTGACCTGTATCTACAGCACTGACCTCTGACCTGTATCTACAGCACTGACCTCTGATCTGTATCTACAGCTCTGACCTTTGACCTGTATCTACAGCACTGACCTCTGACCTGTATCTACAGCTCTGACCTTTGACCTGTATCTACAGCACTGACCTTTGACCTGTATCTACAGCTCTGACCTTTGACCTGTATCTACAGCACTGACCTCTGACCTGTATCTACAGCTCTGACCTCTGATCTGTATCTACAGCTCTGACCTTTGACCTGTATCTACAGCACTGACCTCTGATCTGTATCTACAGCACTGACCTTTGACCTGTATCTACAGCACTGACCTCTGACCTGTATCTACACCACTGACCTCTGATC